ACTATTACAATTACCACCACTACTACCATTATCACCAACACCACCATCACCGTTATCTGTGGAAAAGAGAAAGAGAGAATTAATTGATAATAATAATAATAATAATAATAATAATAATAATAATAATAATAATAATAATAATAATAATAATAATAATAATAATAATAATAATAATAATAATAATAATAATAATAATAATAATAATAATGGTCGCCCATCGTGTAACGAGGATAGCCGGCCCAAGGGCCACCCAGACCTGAATTTGTTTTAGGTGTAGAAGCTGTCGCCAACACAACAACCACACTCTAAGTTAACGAGCTGCATGACCTAGTGTCAAGGAATAGTCCGAGAAGACCGGACAACTCGCCAACTGCACTGGCTAATGATAAGACTAACAACACACACACACACACACACACACACACACACATGTTCTAGCAACTTTCTACACCTGTCCACACCTGTAATTTGGAGGATGGACACCAAGGGGGGGCATTAATGTACGTCTCAAAAAATATAGTTTCATTTTTAACTGACTTACATCAATAAATAATTCATGTACGTTTTTGTGTCTGTGTTTATTTTGTGTACGTCAATGACTGTGTGTATGTGTGTGATTGGATCCAGGATTATTTGTGGGTTTTTTTCTAATTAAAGAGAATGAAAGAGACAGAGAGATATACAGGTAGATAGTGAGAGAGAGAGAGAGACAGGCAGACAGGCAGACAGACAGACAGACAGACAGACAGACAGACAGACAGACAGAGAGACAGACAGACAGCCAGATAGACAGATAGATAGACAAACAGACAGCCAGACAGACAGATAGATAGACAAACAGACAGATAGACAGACCGACAGACAGACAGAAATTTTTGAGAATCTCCTCGTTTTCATTATTTCTGTCACCCTCTCTACATCCTCTGTCTATATCCTGTCTAAAATAGGATCTTCTCTGTCTCCCGTCAAATAAGTAATTCTCTCTGTCTCGCCCTTTGTCAATTTGTCTGTGTCCCGTCTGATGCTACGTCGTCTATATAAGAACATAAGAAAATAAGGAGTCTGCAATAGGCCGGTTGGCCTGTGCATGGCAGCTCCTGTCGAGAGTTTCTACCACTCTCTATCATCCATGAATCTATCCAGCCTCCTTTTAAAACTTTCCAGAGTTCCCGCACTTACTACATAGTTGCTAAGCTTGTTCCACTCGTTCACCACCCTATTTGTGAACCAGTTCCTTCCTATCTCCCTCCTAAACCTAAACTTATCCAACTTAAATCCGTTGCTCCGAGTCCTATCCTGCTCGGATATTATAAGAACTTTATCTATATCCCCTTTATTGATTCCTTTCATCCACTTAAATACTTCTATCATATCTCCCCGCACTCTTCGTCTTTCTAGGGAATGCAAGTTTAGTTTCTTTAACCTATCCTGATATGGAAAGCTTCTAAGTCCCTGAATCATTTTCGTCATTCTTCGCTGCACCGACTGTAGTGAATTGATATCCATTCTATAATAAGGGTACCAGAACTGAACCGCATAATGGAGGTGCGGCATGACTAGCGAAAGATATAGTTGCAATAAAACCTCTGCACTCTTGTTACTTACACTTCTAGATACAAAACCTAATACTCTGTTTGCCTTATTTCGAACATTAACGCACTGTTTTCTAGGCCGTAGGTCCGGGCTTAAAAGTACCCCTAGGTCTCTTTCACAAGTCGACTTCTCTATGTTGATGTTGTTAAGGCTGTATACATTGTCAGTATTTGTTCTTCCAATATTAAGTACGCTGCACTTGCTGGTGTTGAATTTCATTTGCCATTTTTCAGACCACCCCTGCAGTTTATTTAGATCCTCCTGTAATGCATTTGCATCCTGCCCTGAATTAATCTGCCGCCCTATTTTGGTGTCATCCTGTCTAACGCTACTTTGTCTGTGTTTCTGTCCAATGTTACTTTTCCTTGTCATCTCTACTCGTTGTAAAAGTTCCCTTCAGTCGTCGTTCATCACCACTCTCCTCCTACCCTCCTCACCCTCTGATTGCTCCCGAATGTTTACTGTCATGTCAACAAGAACAAAAAAGACGCGTATCCCTCACCTCCGTCGTTCTGGGCTCCGGCGGGGTCCAGCATGGGGGCATCTGGGACCTGGGGAACCTCTGGGACCTGGGGAACGTCTGAGACCTGGGGAACGTCTGAGACCTGGGATACCTCTGGGACCTGAGTTGTAGGTTCCTCTTCCTGGAGCATGGCGTCGTTCCTGCCAGTCAGCAAGACGACAGAGAGACAGACGACAACCATCAGATTCATCGTCTTCATGGTGGCAGCAGTGACCTAAGAGCTGTGTGAGTTTCTTGATACACTTGCTGGCAGTTCGGATTTGTCGCTGTTGAATTTTTTTCTCAGTCGCAGTAGCTCTCAGGTGACTCTTCCTTCCAGCCCCACGGAGACTTGTTGCTTCTGTTGTAGTCGACGAACTTTGACAAGAAATGGCGTCTACAGCTGACTCACCTGCTTTATATCTTACCATATAGTTGCTATGGATAACAGGTGTTAGTGACGGCAAACACCATATAAGGCACAGTGCTCTCGTTGTGTCGTCAGAAAAAATATATATAATATATAATATATAATTATTGTAGGCACGTTACCACCCACAAACAGTCATCGACCTCCATCAGCCAGCGAGGCAGAGTTCATCGAGGTTATTTGCTCACTCATACACCCCGCCACCACCCCAGGACGAGCTAACATGCTGAGTGAGACTGGGTTTAGCAGTACAAAGGGTTGACTTCAAAGCTGCAGCTCAAGATTCGGGAACTGGGGATCGATGTAAAGTTATCAAATATAATAAAGAGTCAAGTCTCATGTAAATAAGTAGAAGTAATTGACATGAAAACTTCCTTTGTGTGGTTGAGTTAGAGCTGGGAATTCTTATGCTCTTCTTAGGTAACATTGAATTAGTTCCTTTCCTTTGAATTCTTATTGTTATGATGACTCCTCGTCTGATCATCTCACGGCAGATCAACACCAGCAGGTTAGGTTAGGATAGGTTGGAAAGGTAGACCCATATTTTCTGTTGTAGAATTACACCTTTTCACATACCCGTTGAGACATTGTTACATAACTATTTGACAAATTTCATAACGGAATGACAGAACACATATCGAATGACAATCTGAAATAACTGTTGGTGGTATGTCACTCTCCAATTGTTACATTCTCAAACTATATGTAGACCGTCGGTTTATTGTTCACGTCTGTCAACTTCATAACTCATGTCAGTCTCTTCCGTTAGCATGAACCAACAGTTATTTTAGATTGTCATTCGATATGTGTTCTGTCATTCGGTTATGAAATTTGTCAAATAGTTATGTAACAATGTCTCAACGGTTATGTGAAAAGGTGTATTAACACTATCAAGCAGTTTAACCTGTAACCAAATTATGTAACCAATGTCTAAGTTTGGTTTTAAACGTTTTATTATTTTAAGTTCACTAACAAAGTATTACCTAGCCTAACCTAACCTAACCTAACACTAACCTAATACTAACCTAACCTAACCTAACCTAACACTAATCTAATACTAACCTAACCTAACCTAACCTAACCTTATTCTGAAAAAGGAAAAGAAAATGAAACAACTGGAAATGTATTTTATATTACAAGAAAGAAACTCATTTACATACAACACATATGTTTGGTGGTGTGTCGCGTTGGAACTGGACACACACACACACACACACACACACACACACACGTTATTTACCCAAGGAAGTAAACAAACACAAATGCCATTGTCCTGTAACTAGTAAGTGCGTCCTAGATAGAAAAAAACCCTCCCCCCCTCCTTCCCTCCCTCCTTCCTCCCCTCCTTCCCCTCCCCTCCCTCCCCTCCCCTCCTTCCCCTCCCCCCCTCCCCACTCCCTGGTGTCTAGTGTAGTGAGGGAGGCGACACCTAACTGAGAGTGTTCCTGAAGAATTAATGTGACTGTGTTAGTCATTTATCTCGTGCTGTCACAGGTGTACAACAAGTGTTCTGTGTATCTGTGTACAGTATTTGGTATCGTCTGCATACAACAGGGGTACACGATACACGTGGATAGTGTGTATAGAATTAGTAATGTTACCTTTTTTTTTTCATATATATACAGCGCATTGCTCTCCACACAAGTACAAGTTTTCCTACTGTAATAACTAACTGTTCTTCCTTCGTCTCATAATACAGTCAGATACAAAACCCCATTCGCCTCTCTTCCTGAACCCGGAGATTCAGATTCACGAACCCGAAGCCGTAAACAAATCCATTTTTCTCTCAAATGCTTCGGATTCGTGTGTCTCAATATCCGGGTTCGTGGTTCAGGAGGGAGAGAAGCGAACACACTTTAGTTTACTTAATCTTACATTATAACTAATTCATTGTATACCTATATGTTTTATAAGTCTCATATGGGAATAGATTCGTTGATATATGACCTATGTATGTATGTATGTATGTATGTATGTATGTATGTATGTATGTATGTGAGAGTACAGGTAAAAAGACATCAGCCCAGGTAGACCAACAAAATAATAACTTAATTAACAGGTGTAAAAATAATACTCACCTGTGATTTATTATTTAGATTAATTATTATAAGTATTGATATTTTTTTTACGGATAATTGGGAAAAAATAATTATGGTGTTCATTAGGAGATTAGTATGAATAGGTATACGTAGGATAATTACATACATACATACATACATACATACATACATACATGCATACATACATACATACATACATACATACCAGAGAAAAACACGAGAGACAGAGACAGAGAGAGGGGGGTGGGTGGCAAGCTTTTATATGAATGTGTACAACATAACTTATAGGTAATGTACAGGAAAATGACCAGACACATACTGTACACATGGCAGAGTGAACGTTCGTTATGTGGTACAGTGAAGAAATTGAACAGGGGCAATTACACGCACACACACACACACACACACACACACACACACACACACACCTACATACACACACACACACACACACACACACACACACACACACACACACACACACACACGTCATCATACCTCCCAACTTCTTTTATAAATCCTTAAATTCACACCACAAGAAGAGTACAAATATGACGTCATCAACATCGTCATCAACATCATTTGCTTGGGATCAGCTTCTATCAATGACGTCACGGTTGCATCACACATCTCAGAGAGTGACGTCATGGTTGTCATTATTTAAACCCTCTTGAATGTTCGAGTACACTTAGTTCCTGTTGGTCTGTGGGTGATGTGCTGTATGATAAACAAAAACAGAAACAAAATGAGTCAAATGAATCAAATCTTAAATATATTTATATGTTTAAAATATAACTTTAGCTCTTCTACGCAATCTGTATCTACAGTAAATGGAGGTAGCTATATACTGTTTACATATTTGATATTATTTTCCAAGATTTAATGTATTTCTTTAATATTATCCTGTGAAATATTCATTTAAAAGATTTGTATGCTTTTAAGGATATTTTTCTGTATTCTGTCAAAAAATATCTGTAATCTGTCAAAATTACTGTACCTGTAGGTTTAATTAACCCCTGTAACCTCGTGTCCTTATGAAATAATTGTATCTTACACACACCTGTCCTCGAGTCACCTCACCTGTATGATGCCGTAATCAGTAAACTCTCTCACAAAGTCCAGCTGAGCCTCGTTACCGCCATTATTGTGCCGTATAAGCTTGTCGCCCTCCAAGGTGAAGCTGGCCTAGGAAGACACGGATAATAATAATAATAATAATAATAATAATAATAATAATAATAATAATAATAATAATAATAATAATAATAATAATAATAATAACAATAATAATAATGACAACAACAACAATAATAATAATAACAATAATATAAAACACAATATTAACAATAATAAAAAACAATAATAATAACAATAACAACAACGTACTGTATAATCAACTCACCTTAAATTTGTTGCCATCGAGGGAGGTAAATTCTTTCTCTTCACCTAATGAGAACTTCCAGGTAACAGTCCGACGTAAACCGTGTGTAATGATGGTCCACGTATCGTCATCGTCCACCTTCACCTCCACCTTCGGTTTAGTCATCAACGCTATTTTCCTCATGATCATTCCCACCTCTGTCACCACACAAGATAAGAAGTAGAATGAGTTACAGGCATTGATAGTAAACGTGTATTCCTCCGCGTCATTCTCCCTGTATGTATTCCTCCGCGTCATTCTCCCTGTATGTATTCCTCCGCGTCATTCTCCTTGTATGTATTCTTCCGCGTCATTCTTCTTGTTCTTATTTCCAGGTTGAGAAGTGTTAGGTGTGATGGACTAGTGTAAACAACAGCGTTTTTCTGTCTTAATTGTCTATGGTTTAATCTCTATAAGGTATTCTCAGTCCATCGAATTATTAAATGGGTAGCTAACTTCACAGATGGGGAAATGAAGAAGGTCGAGTGCAGTGTAGGGTGACTTTTGTGTATTGAAGATTTAATTATATAAACAATGTGTTGTATCTACGTCACGCCTATATGTGTATCAGACATCCTACTTTACACACCCTGATGCTTTTAAGCCCTGATTTTGGTTAAATTAGGTTAGGTTGGGTTAGGTCAAGTAAGGTTAGGTTATGATTAGTTACTTACCCATTACTTCTAACAGAGCCTCCAAATTTTCATTCTTCTCCATCTTGTAAGTACCGTTGAACTGTACCATCCTGGAGTCTGATCGTTTACCTGTCTGAGGAAACACAACAGCTGATTGGTAAGCCTATTAAAAACTTAATATTATCACCATCCAACATACAAATACAGTACAGTCACTCAAAAAAACACTATCAATACGAAATTGGGTTGGAAAAATATGACACAACGGACGAAGGATTTTGGCAACTTTACCGAGACAACAGGAGTGACAATGACAATTTGTTTTGATTATAATCAAAACAAATTGTCATTGGATATTAAACCAACCAAATGATAACACCTATAGTTCGATATTATAAAAAGTATTAAAAATAAAAAATCAACAAAGAACATAAAATAATAATTGCCAAGCACAAAAATATAACAAATTAAAAATAAAAACAATACCGAACGACTTACTGAACTAACAGATGAGTAGAGAAGGGATCAGAGATGTAAACAGACGTGTGAACGGCGCTCGAGTGACGACAGACGCATCAGGGGAGCGCGCGCCAAGGAACAAACAATGTAATCAATAATAAAGATAAGATAGTGGTGCCTGCGAGTACAATAGGCTAGAGAGGTTATTGTAATCGACCCGTGTGTGAGAGAGAGACCGTAGACGATTCCAACTCTATCTCTCCTACCCCTGAACCTATGCACTTTCCTATAATCTCCACTCATAGGGTTGCCGGTGTGTTATCCAGGTTGGGTGTGAGTAAGGCGCCTGGACCGGACGGAATACCCTCTCGTGTTCTGAGGGAGTGTGCTGAAGTTCTGGCCCCTGTGCTTGCTAACCTCTTTTGCCTTTGCCTCAAAACCCAAACTTTTCCTTCTTCTTGGAAGCATGCCTTGGTTCAGCCCGAAGAAGGGTGACCATTCTAATCCCTCTAACTATCGCCCCATTGCCCTAACTTCATCCCACTCTAAGATTGAAACTATCTTGAACTCCCATTTTCTCCGTCACCTTGAAAGCCATTCTCTTTTGTCGGATCACCAGTATGGCTTTCGCCGTGCGAGATCTACTGGTGATCTGCTCTCCTACTGCACCCATCTTTGGTCATCCTCTCTTAGGGATTATGGGGAAACTTTCGTCGTGGCCCTCGACATCTCCAAGGCATTTGACAGGGTATGGCACAAGTCTTTGCTATCTAAACTTCCCTCTTATGGTTTCTCTCCCCCACTTTATTCTCTAATCTCTAGCTTCCTTGAGAACCGATCCATAGCAGTTGTTGTCGAGGATCTCTCTCTCTCTCTCTCTCTCTCTCTCTCTACCAATAGTGGCGTCCCACAGGGTTCTGTTCTTTCACCTACTCTTTTCCTTCTTTTTATCAATGATTTACTCCACACTACAACTAATTCTATCCATTCTTACACTGATGATTCTACTCTTCACTCTTCTTCACATTTTCCCCTTCCTAACTCTCAAACTAGATCTGTTTCTAGAACTGATATCATTACTTCTATCAATGCGGATCTGTGCAGCAGCTCTGAATGAGGCGGTACCAACCTGGTTAAGTTCAATAGTAATAAAACAGTATTTATCAATTACTCTTTCCAAATTAGATGATCTCCCACCAATCACATTTCAGGACGCCATCATTCTGCCAAATTTTGAAATAGTTATGTTAGGCCTCACCATTTCCTCTAATATGTCCTGGAAGCCACACATCCTCACCATTGCTAAAGCTGCCTCCCGAAAGTTGGGAATGCTGTACAGGTGCCGTAGCTACTTCACTCCTGAGCAGTTGTTTCAAGTATATAAGGGATTCATTCGTCCTAACTTGGAGTACTGCTCTCATATCTGGGGTGGCTCTTCCTCTGTCCAACTATTAGATATGGTGGAATCAAAGGCATTTCGTCTTATTAACTCTCCTCCTTTAGTCGACAATCTCTCTCCCCTTTCTCTTCGCCTCAGTGTTGCTTCACTCTCTCTCTTTTACAGGTACTTTAACGGGCAATGTTCAGTGGATTTGGCATCCTGTGTACCGCCGGCAAGGCCGTGGGTTCGTAACACACGTTTTGCCCGCGGTGCCCACCATTTCTCTGTGGATGTCGGTCACACGATAATAACCCGTTATAGTACCTCCTTCTTTCCTCACACAGCCAAACTGTGGAATGCTCTGCCTTCTTCTGTGTTTCCATACTCATACAATCTCTCTCACTTCAAAAAGTTGGTTTTCCGACATCTTCGCAATGTAGATTAATATAACCTTTTCCTTTTCTACTTTTAATATATTTTTATTTTTCATTGTTTCGCCCCCAGGCCCCGTGTGGGTTGATGACCTGTGGCCGGGTGGGCTGTTCCCTGTAAAAAAAAAAAAAAAGTTTACTCACGCAGACATCGAGATAAACATAGATATGCATATACTGTACATGTGTACATAATACATTGAGAGATAAGAGACAGTGGAACATTTTGACATACCGCACATTACACAGATAGACAGATGAACAGTCATGGCTTTACTGCAATGTGGGGGGTGGGGGTAGAGGAGGGGGCGTTAGCATTGTGGCCTCAGCATTCTTGTGGCGTTGTAGAGATTTATGAAGGCATTTATGAATCACCCTGTATACAGAACCGTGTGTGTATGTATGTACAGTATGTTCGTTATCCCCGGCTTAATATAATCTTATGAATGTTACCAAACGTCTAAATTATTATTATTATTATTAATAGTAGTAGTAGTAGTAGTATTGTTATTATTATTATTATTAGTGGTAGTAGTAGTAGTAGTAGTAGTAGTAGTAGTAGTATTGTTATTATTATTATTATTATTATTATTATTATTATTAATAGTAGTAGTAGTAGTAGTATTGTTATTATTATTATTATTAGTGGTAGTAGTAGTAGTAGTAGTAGTAGTAGTAGTAGTATTGTTATTATTATTATTATTATTATTATTATTATTATTATAAATGAGAGAATAAGAAACATTTTAAGATTCCATAAGGATAAGATCAAATAAAACACATATATATACTGCATGTTTTATTGCACATTCAACATGGTAACTTGGTAATGTAACGACCGGAGCCATACAAAAATAATGTTTTCTGCAACAATAATGTGACCAAACATAATATACTTATGATTATGGCGATAGAGACACACAAAAAACGTGTCTTAATAACTTTTTGGAAGTAGTTTTGAAGTCAAGAAAACTTTTGGATTAAATTAATGAAATATTGTATGAAAAACACTGTTAAATTTGTAAGTCGACTGGTTGGGTACAGCATTTTGAGAAAAGGAATCGAATTAATTTTTTTATTTTTTTTTTTTACATTTTTAATTAGACATGATCGGTTGTAACGCATGAACCTTAATTTTAGATTATGAAAGGTACAAAAATAAAAAAAGAGTGAGTGAGTGAGTGTGTTTACAAGTGAGGGCGTAGAGGTGAGTGAGACTATCCTCCCACCTCGCACCCTCTACTACCCTGATACACCTCTATCCAGCCTAACACTCTTGGGTCTTTATATACACACATATATACATTTGTCTGTTTATATATATGTCATGAAAGAAGAGGCAAGCTGGATGACACAACATTTGCAACAATGTCAGTTACATAAGGGAAACTTTTCTTGCATAATCAGTTGACTCTTAAACATTCGTTGATATCAGATACCCCTGGGTAAAGAAAAAAACTGACAAGTGGAAGAAAATTCATAAGAAATATATACTAGAATGATGAGAAAGGAAAATCACACACACACACGCACACACACCGACGCACACAGCCACAACATTGGTAACAGTTGAGTGTCTCCCTGTCTATTATTGTCTACAGTACTAAACTATCTATGGAAGCCGGGAGGAACCATAAAGTCGATTGACACTCTATATCAATGATTCATTAATTTTTTTCTATTATATATTTAGTTGTATGTGAATGACTTGATAGTGTTAATATGTTTTGGGAAATATTTTAAGTTCATAGTCATTTGGTTGATGATGAGACAAGGGTGAAGCAATGAGTGTACTTTTTCCCTTATTTTGTCCTGCCTCTCCTTGTGATGACAACCTCAAATAAACATCCATCCAGTTGATTAATTCGAATTGTCTTGGATAAAACGGTGTATAATTATCATAGCTTAAGGGAGAAAACCATAGTAATGCGTCTATTTATATTTTCTTATCAATAATCTATTATCATTTGTGAATTTATCGGTTTTTATTACATTTATCAATTAATTTACTTCTTTACTTATTCATTTATTATTTTGTCTGTGTGCAAGTTATACCTTACATACTATTTATCAGACTTGTTGAACCAATTATCAAGGAAATTTCTGATATCCTTAACATTTTATTACCTAGAAATCATTAGAGTTTACTAAAGAAATATATAAATCTGGGGTATTGATATAGAGACAATGTTTAGCAAGAAATAAATAATTGAAAAATAGCATCGTCGTGTGATAATGAGGAATTGGTCGCGGGCGGTCCACTAGGCTTCCATCATCACATCTTCCCGCCTGTAATATAATGACTTACAAGTAGGGAAGACCACAGATACTTGAAATTAAAGATGAGGATACTACTGAGAAATCGTTAGAGAGCATTTGATTAATTCATAAAAAAAAGCTTAAAGCCTAAATAAGACTCCTCAGTAGCGATGAAAACAAGGAAGGGAATTTTAAGAGTTAAGGAATCGTGTGTATATTAACGTTCACACATAAGAGTACCATTTATTATATTCGAGGGTAAGAGAGCCGATATTTTATTTTCTAACGTACGCTTTTTCATTATAGTTCTTTAAGGTTTAACATAGGCCTAATTTAAAGACTAATTAATGCCACGTGCACACTGTTAAATAACCCGCTTGTTTGTTCTTTCCTCTGCCAGGCGTTTGATGAATTCTCTCTAATTACTTATATCCGTTATATACAATACTATAATATCAACTAATTTGTTTAATATTAATCACGAAGTGAAGAATTATATTGAGAAATGTTCACAAATATAAATTCCGCATGATATTAATAATGCATCATCAGGCAGTAGGTTGACTTGATCTGTGACCGTGACATCCAAAGTGGTATGGACTTTTAAAATACTACAGACAACACGGGAACTATAAGTGATAATTTGATTTTGAAACACCATCTACAGCGGGCAACTAATATTACGTTCAGTGCACAATGTAAAGAATATGAATGAGATGTTATTGATAATTAAATTCGTTTAACTATAGAACAGTCGTCGTTCCTCCCTCACCAGACATATAAGGTAAATTGTAAGTTTATTTTAATTTAGTTGTAATGATTTTATGGATGAGGGAGGAGCAATGTAAAGAAAGCGGCGGGTGGCTAATTCAAATGTCTATTTAATATTACTCATACTATGGAAGACAGAGAGCGGGCGAACTCCGTATGTATGTCACGCACTGTTAACTTATTGTACAACTGCTTTTATCACGGTATAAGGGAAATAATTAAAACCGATTTGTTGTTTTAGTTGTACATGATAATTATTGCAGCGGCTGATACGTACTTTGGTAATATTGGGTATGATTTTTACAACAGAACTACAGTGTATTTGTTAAACTCTCCTTTTTATACTGATTCTAAGTTCTGTACGTAGGAACGTGAACGATGAACATGGGTTAACATTTTGTACTAGTGACCGTGCATGATGAACAATTATTCAAGTGTTTATAAATGTTTATTACTGAAATATAACGACTTAATTAAATTTTCGAATAGTATTACGTATAGTGATTGACGACGCTGCATCTCGTTATCTTTGCTGGACATATTATAATGTTTTGTTACAGGTAAACACTTATGGGGTCTCTTAAGTGTCACTGATTCTTCTGTGTAACATGTAAGCTTAGTCTTAGTGAGTCTTATAGAAATAATAATAATAATAATAACAATAATAATAATAATAATATCATCGGGTGGATAACTCCGCCTCCATAGCGCGGAATTAAATACTGGTCAAGTAGTTCTCCCTGTGTCCTAGCTGAAGGGAAACAAAATATAATCTTAATCGTCACAGTCAGGTGTTGAGGTGTCGGGCGAGGGCGTGGTGGTGGTTGTGGTAACTGGTCGGGGTATCAGAGGTCTTCCAGTGCTGTCTGAAGGACCTTTACTGTTGGTGGTGTCCTTCTGGTATGAGAGGCTTCGACCGAACCATGCAGGTCTTCCTCGGGAGATGTTGAACTGACGTATGAGGTCTCGTTGTGTCTGGGGTTCAGGGCGCGTCACTCGTGGTGGGGAGCGTATCACCGGCAGGATGCTGGCCACGCTCGTGTGTCTGACGGCGGAGGAATACATCGAGGATATTAGAATCATCTCAGAGGACATTTGAAAGAGAAAGCCAGACGGAACATAAGATTGGGAAATAAGAAAAGAGCGTCAAAGTAGGTAGAATAGGTAGGCGAGAAGAGGAACATGGGAGGGGTACCATGAAGGAGATTCTTGGTGAGGAAGAGGGTAGGTGAGGGGAAGGAGTTTTAACAGTACTTATGGGGGACTGATCTGTTAGCCCAAGTTCTAGCCACCAAGGGGACCTGTGTGACCCCCGGGGCTAGACACAAGGGACACTGACTCACCTGTTGGGTCGAGTGTTGTGTGGGAAGTAGGGCGTGGGGTCGAAGACAGGTCGACACCCTCCAACCAGGTCCTCCATGAAGCCCTGTCGACAGCTCACCCGGATTATCGATGGATCTGCGGCAAGACGAACACATTTACAACACGTACATAAGCAGCGTACAGGGGTTCGAGCCCAGGTATGGGAGGAGAGAGGAGATAGTCACGTCACAAGGTTACTAGGTGTCACCGCTTCACGTATTTCAACACGTCACATAAAGTTACGTCATATCACAAGGCAAACATCACAACAACATTAAAAACATCACAAGCGAACACAAGAAAGTCAGTGCAGATCAGTGTCAAAACAGGAAGATAGAAAATGTAAGAAAAATAGTTACAAAGAAAATGTAAAATTTAGTAAGGGTAACTATAAAAACCCTAAACAGCCTATCCCCTGGCCACGATACATTGAATGCCTTGACACTGTATACTTTACACTGTCTAAACTGAGTCTGTGAGTCTGTAGTGACTATTTAACCTGTAATTTCACTCACCATGCATTTCACCCTTGATAAAAAAAGATATGTTTTACTGTTCCATAATCACTTGGTGCGTCCATAAGAGAAGACAAAATGCTTTACCTCGTACCAACAACAATTAGAAAGGTTACCAAAATGCACTTCAGAGCGTTTTGTTATTTTATTTAAACTTAAAGATAGAAAAATGTTTAGTACGGTTATGAGAAAGAGCTCAGTGATCGGTGCGACAATAACAAGAAGTTCAAAAGTAATCAAACAGCTGAAGTTATAATCCACATAATATGATTCACTTCTCACCTCATAACTTACATCACCTTTATTTATTTTTTGTTAAGTGTTATTATTGATGTTGATAATGATGATGATTTTTCTAAGTAAATGTTCACTTATAAATATTGATACCTGTAGATAGATTAATTCAAGGTGTGTGTGTGTGTGTGTGTGTGTGTGTCGATAGACTTTAAAAAACACAAAACATGCTCATAAAAACATCAACTGTGAGCCCTGATATGACCTTAAAACAACCACACACCACCACCGACACCACACACCACCACCACCGACACCACACACCACCACCACCACCAAACACCACCACCGACACCACACACCACCACCACACACCACCACCACCGGCACACACCACCGACACACACCTCTGACACCTGACACACACCACCACAACACACACCACCCTGACACACACACCACCACCATTTTACCGACACACCACACACCACCACCACCGACACCACACACCACCACCACCACCAAACACCACCACCGACACCACACACCACCACCACACACCACCACCGACACCACACACCACACACCACCACCACCGACACCACACACCACCACACACCACACACCACACACACACACACCACCACCGACACACACCACACCACCGACACACACCACCACCGCACCACCACCACACACCACCACACACACCACCACACCACACCACACACACCACACACCACACACACCACCACCGACACCACACACCACCACCGACAACTCTTCCTTTCCCCCCTGTGTGCGGTACCTGCCCTTAGGCCCCGTCAGTGGCAGTATTGTTAAGAACCGGAATTAAAGGGAGACCAAGGTCACTCCCGACGGCGTGTGTGGAACCCCATCTATAGTACCTTCTACGGGCCTCAGCCTCGTGGTGGAGGAGAGGCAGAAGACTGTACCACGGAAATAGAGAGATCGTTTGGTGCCTCATATGTCTGTGTGTGTTGAGAGACTTTGTAGTTGTTGAAACACTGTGTTGGTTGGTCACTTTTAGGCCATTGTGGAATAACTCTGCCAACTGAAGCACCTCACTCTAGCTACAACAACAACAACGACACCACCACCAACAAAAACAACAACAACAACGACACCACCACCAACAACAACAACAACGACACCACCACCAACAAAAACAACAACACCAACGACACCACCACCAACAACAACAACAACACCAACGACACCACCACCAACAACAACAACAACGACACCACCACCAACAAAACAACAACACCAACGACACCACCACCAACAAAACCAACAACAACAACGACACCACCACCAACAAAAACAACAACAAGTGATAATAAACGTTATAATCATTATACTTTAATTTTTCTAGAATAGGTTTGTTGATTAACGAAGAGGTAACGAACGATGCTCATTAACCCCGGTGTATTTGAAACACATATTATCAAAAATCATCACCAACGGAGTCTCAAAGGTCAGGTTAGGTCAGGTTAGTTTAGGTCTCAGTGCAATTAGGACACCATTATTGGCCTGCCAGAACACCTCATTGGGGTCATTAACTAGCACGTCACACAACTACACAACTACATTATACATCGATATCAAACACAGACTAACACAGGTACAGTACAAAGAAAGGGGAGGGGTCGTAACACAGCACGTCACACAGCAAGGCGTCACAGTATATAAACAGCAGGGCGTCACAGCTGGTCAGAGTATAGCAACAAGGTTATATTCGTCACAGTATATTGAATAGTGGAGTTTGACACGCTTGTTGGTATTATATTACATCACACACACACACACACACACACACACACACACACACACACACACACCCACACACACACACACACACACACACACACACACACACACACACACACCCACACACACACACACACCCACACACACCTTACCTCTAGTTGAGACAGAGGCAGCCATCTCAGCCATGATAACAGGAAGGTAGTAGTTAACAAGGTCATCCCCAGTCGTCCCTCCTCGTCTTCCTCCTCCTCCTGAAACAACAACTACCATGCAAATGATTACCCACCTGTTCCCCCACACATCCTAAAGTGTCTGTCTATCTGTCTGCTTATCTATATCTATCTGTCTATATCTATCTATCATTGATATATAATACCTGTCAAATAATAATAATAATAATAATAATAATAATAATAATAATAATAATAATAATAATAATTTCAACATTTCGTCAACATTTCATTAATATTCTAACCTGAAAATTAAACCAGATAAAGAACTCCAGTATTCCAGTGAGTTAATAAGTAAAAGTTCATCAGATTAGCAGTGACCTAGTTTAACAGCCAGTGAACTGTGGGGAGTTAGTGTGGGGGGTGAGGTGGTGGGGATGGAAAAAGGAGGTGTTGTGATTGATGTGGGAGGGAAGGAGGAGGGTCTATATTGATGTGGAGAGGGTCCCATATAGTGATGTGGGAGAGGAGGAGGGTCCTATGATTGATGTGGGAGGAGGAGGGTCCTATAATTGATGTGGGAGAAAGGAGGAGGGGTCCTATAATTGATGTGGGGAGAGGAGGGAGGGGTCTATGAGTGATGTGGGAGAAGGAAGGAAGGGTCCTATAATTGATGTGGGAGAAGGAAGGAGGGGTCCTATAGTGATGTGGGGAGGGGGGAGGGGGTTCATAGTGATATGTGGAGGGAGGGAGGGTCCTATAATTGATGTGGGGAGAGGGAGGGAGGATCCTATATTGATGTGGGGAGAGGGAGGGTCCTATAATTGATGTGGGGAGAAGGGAGGGAGGGTCCTATGATTGATTTGGGAGAAGGGAGGGAGGTCCTATTGATGTGGGAGAAGGGAGAGGGGTCCTATATTGATGTGGGAGAAGAAGGGAGGGGTCCTATAATTGATGTGGGAGAAGGAAGGGAGGTCCTATAATTGATGTGGGAGGGAAGGGTGGGAGGGTCCTATAATTGATGTGGGAGGGAGGAGGGTCCTATTGATGTGGGAGGGAGAGGAGAGGGGTCCTACAATTGATGTGGGAGAAAGGTGGGGAGGGTCTATAATTGATGTGGGGGAGAAGGGAGGAGGGTCTATAATTGATGTGGGAGGAAGGGAGGAGGGGTCTATAATTGATGTGGGAGGAGGGTGGGAGGGTCCTATAATTGATGTGGGAGAAAGATAGGAGGTCCTATAATTGATGTGGGAGGGGAAGGGGAGGGGTCCTATAATTGATGTGGGAGAAGGGTGGGAGGGTCCTATAATTGATGTGTGGGAGAAGGGAGGAGGGTTCTATAATTGATGTGGAGAAGGAAGGAGGGGTCTATAATTGATGTGGGAGGAAGGGAGGAGGGTCCTATAATTGATGTGGGAGGGTGGGAGGGGTCCTATAATTGATGTGGGAGGGAAGGGAGGGTCCTATAATTGATGTGGGGGGAGGAGGGTCCTAATTGATGTGGGGAGGAAGGAGGGTCCTATAATTGATGTGGGAGAAAGGGAGGAGGGGTCCTATAATTGATGTGGGAGAAAGGAAGGAGGGTCCTATAATTGATGTGGGAGGAGGGAAGGAGGGGTCTATAATTGATGTGGGAGAAGGGTGGAGGGTCTATAATTGATGTGGGAGGGAAGGGAGGGTCCTATAATTGATGTGGGAGGGAAGGAGGAGGGGTCCTATAATTGATGTGGGAGGGAAGGAGGAGGGAGGTCCTATAATTGATGTGGGAGAAAGGGTGGGAGGGTCCTATAATTGATGTGGGAGGGAAGGGAGGAGGGTCCTATAATTGATGTGTGGGAGAATTGGGGAGGGTCCTATAATTGATATGGGGAGGAAGGAGGTCCTATAATTGATGTGGGAGGGGTGGGAGGGTCCTATAATTGATGTGGGAGGAAGGAGGGGTCTATAATGATGATGTGGGAGAAAGAGGAGGTCCTATAATTGATGTGGGGAGGAAGGGAGGGGTCCTATAATTGATGTGGGAGAATGGAGGAGGGTCCTATAATTGATGTGGGGAGAAGGAAGGGAGGGTCCTATAATTGATGTGGGAGGGAGGGAGGGGTCCTATAATTGATGTGTGGGAGAAGGGAGAGGTCCTATGATTGATGTGGAAGAAGGGAGGAGGTCCTTGATTGATGTGGAAGAAGGAGGGAGGGTCCTATTGATGTTAGAAAGGAGGGAATTGTGGGAGGAGAGGAGAGACACTGCTGAAATCAAGAGAGAAACTTGCTGTAGTAGGCATGAAGGTCTTTAGTGAGTCAGTGAGTGGAGTCAGTGAGTGAGTCAGTGAGTGAGTCAGTGAGTGAGTCAATGAGTGAGTCAGTGAGTGAGTCAATGAGTATTTTAGTGAGTCAGTTCATACACTTCACAAGTAGATGATATCATGAATTAAGGAAAAAAATATAATTCTTAGGTATGTCCAGTGAAGGTTGTTGTTGTTGTTGTTATTGTTTGTTGTTGTTTAATGTTGTTGTTGTTTATTGTTGTTGTTGTAATTGTTTATTGTTATTGTTGTTGTTTGTTGTTGTTGTGTTGGTTATTGTTGTTGTTGGTTATTGTTGTTGTTGTTATTGTTGTTGTTGTTTATTGTTGTTGTTGTTGTGTAGTAGTTGTGTATGGCAGGTGTTTTTGTAGGGTGTGCAATACTCGGGTGTTATAGGGTGTATTAGGGTATTTCAGGGTGTATTAGAGGCTATACTAAGGTGTACTAGGGTGTGGCAGGGTGTGGCAGGGTGTACTAGGGTGTGGCAGGGTGTACTAGGGTGTGGCTGGGTGTACTAGGGTGTGCTGAGTGTACTAGGGTGTGGCAGGGTGTACTAGGGTGTGGCAGGGTGTATAGGGTGTGGCAGTGTACTAGGGTGTGGCAGGGTGTACTAGGGTGTAGCAGGTGTACTAGGATTGTGGCAGGGTGTACTAGGTGTGTCAGGGTGTACTAGGATTGTGGCAGGGTGTACTAGGGTGTGGCAAGGGTGTACTAGGGTGTGGCTGGGTGTACTAGGATTGTGGCAAGGTGTACTAGGGTGTGGCTGGGTGTACTAGGGTGTGGCAGTGTGTACTAGGTTGTGGCAGGGGTGTACTAGGGTGTGGCTGGGTGTACTAGGGTGTGGCTGGGTGTACTAGGGTGTGGCAGTGTGTACTAGGATTGTGGCAGGGTGTACTAGGTTGTGGCAGGGTGTACTAGGGTGTGGCAGGCAGGGAGTGTAAAGAGAGGAAGGGAATGTAAGCTGTATCTTTAACGCTCAGTTGACTAACAGGATCGTGAGAGTGTTTGCCAAGGTAGGCTGGTGAGGTTGACCATTGTGGACCACTTTTTTGGGAGATGGTCCAGGTAGTAAAATGGTGGTGTGGCCTACTGGTCCGTTCCCCTCCTCCCTTAGTGGTCCTCCCAGTGGCCCTAGTCTGTTGGTATCTGTAGTTGGGTGGTTAAGGTGATAGTGAGGTAGTTAAAGGTGATTGTTGGGGGTAGTTATGGTGTTAGTTGGGTTGTTATTTAGGTGATTCAATGTAATGGTTGTTTGGTGTATTATTGTTAGTGGTTGGTGTGCAGTTCAGTTAATGTTTGGTGATGAAATGGTAGTTAGCGTATTGTTGTGGTAGTTGAATGATGGTTAGATGTGAGGTTATGGTTGTTAGGGGAGTGGATGGTTCGTATATGGTAACAATGAATGGTGAAGAGGCTCACCTATGCTGGGAAGCTGGGAGGCCCTGGGAGTGATGACCAACATCTCCAAGGTATTATCCCCGGTGGGCGTGTCGCTATCGAGAATCTGGCTGTGGGCGTGGTAAACAGGTGGCTAAGCCCGCCCATAGTAGTGCCAGAACCAGCTGTGCTCACCCCCCGTCTCCAAGTGGCGTAGCTTCTCTCCATCTGCCGGGGTGGAGAGAGAAGGGGGAGGGTGTAGAATCAGTGCCAATCTGTTTATGACGCTTTAGAATGTAAAGTTTGAGTGGTGGTGACGTAGTTGGTGACCTGTCGTGGTGACGTAGTTAGTGACCTGTACACGGCGACAGGTCTTGTAGTGACGTAGTGTGTGTATGCTAACTAGGGCGTCAGTCCCCACGAAGACACACGCCACCTTATCGAGTTCGTCTCCTTCAACAATAACGACTAAACTAACTACATTATTGAAGGTTTAATGTTGTTACGTAATGTTGGCTAAACTAGGTCATGTTAGAGTGTCACCTACCTACCTACTACCCCTACCTAACCTACCCTCCCTACCCTACCTAACCTACCTACCTAACACCTCCTAACTACACCCCTATCCAAAACTAGAACTTATACCGATGTTTTGAAATAAGTTTTCTTTTAATCTCAACCTAATTAGCATTTAGTCACGTGGGAAATAAACATACTGAAGGGATATTACACCAGGGAGGAGTGAATGTTTGTAAATAGTGGGAAGAGAGACTGTCAGGTAGAGGTGAGAGTGTGTGAAGGAGGGCTAGAAAGAAAGTTATGGATGTGGCGGCGTACTTGTATAAAAATATATACGCTTCCATATACACACAACTACGCCATTATACGCACCCCTACATTAAACCACCACTATGAAGATATTTCGACAGAGCCCAAGATAGTATTGTGGGTACTGGGACGCATTCTAGGTTATATACTTGTCTAGTGAGAAGAATATTGTATTTTTATTAGTGTAGATGTCGTTGTTGTTGTGTTTTGCTATCGTGTTTGTATGATCGGTCTTGTGGATTAAATATTTTATAGAAGGTTAGAGTAAGTGGGTGGCTTAGTAGATATGATACTCTATTCTTAAATCAAGGTCGCTGGTTCGAGTTATCTGGGGCGGGTCTTTTAGCTCATTTGGGGAGTCGATACTGCTTCACTTTGGGAGGTGTTGAACTATTTTACCCCCTACCCTCCCCCACCCCCTACCCTCCCAACCCCCCTACCCCCCCTATTTCCTCAGTGTGACAACTTTAGTATTTAGTATTTTGATTTTTATTATTATTATTGATTGTGGTGAGAATGTCGAGTGGGTCATTCTTGCAGTGATTGGAATATTGCCCCAAATTATAGTACTGGTGAAGGTAACAGGCACTAAAACTGCCCTCAATTAGTCACTTACACAACCTGTACTTAGAGAACATTCCGCCTCCTCCTACGTGTCCGGCCTACCAACACCTCTGATTTGCATGGTAATACTCCCTTAGGTGGTAACGCTGCCACTGACGTCACCTGCTCTCCCTGATGTCATCGTCCCATTGGTTGTCCCCTACAGTGGCGGACACAGGCAAACCACCACTCTAATTGCTGATTGGTGCACCTAGGGCCATCGTGCAGTGTTGCCAGAATCTTACGTTGATTTTTTTTTTCATTTTTCCTTAGGTGGTGATCTGGTTATAGTCTCAGCGTAGTTTGGATTCCATTTTGGCGGCCATTATTTGTGTCATAGTGCATTATATCCCTAAACTATGGTGATGTTGTACCTTTGATGATGATAATAACAATAACACCAATAATAAACAACAACAATATAACAACAACAATACTACAACCACTAAGAAGAAGGTACACACAGCTAACCATTACCACACACACACACACACACACACACTACACCTGTCTCTAGTTAATAAGCCAATATGATAAGTGAAACCATTAGATCGATTTGAGCTCTTTCTTTCTTTCTTCTTTCTTCTTCTTCTTCTCCCTCCGTCAGAGTAAGGTCAGATTGTCAATATAAAAAAAATATAACATGAAGAAAGTTGCATGGTTCTCCTTGTGACCCGTTATGGCTATTGTTACTGTGTGTGTGTGTGTGTGTGTGACAAAAGGTGAAGGTGATTGTGTTATAGTGTACCTGTGGTGGTGGGTGACGATGACCACGAGTATAAAATTAGTGAGAAGTTCAGGTGTGTTGACCCAGTTCAGGTAATACTAAAACAGGTAGAGGTGGTGGTGGTGATGGTGGTGATGGTGGTGGTGGAGATGGTGATGGTGGTGGAAGATGGTGGTGGTGGTGATGGTGGTGGTGATGGTGGTGATAGTGGTGATGTGGTGGTGGTGGTGGTGGTGGTGATGGTGATGGTGATGGTGATGGTGGTGGTGATAGTGGTGGTGGTGGTGGTGGTGATAGTGGTGGTGATGGTAGTAATAGTGGTAATAGTGGTGGTAATGGTGGTAGTGGTGTTGGTGTCACATTGTCCCTACCTGGAATTGGAAGGTGTGTGTGTGTGTATGTATGTATGTATGTATGTATGTATGTATGTATGTATGTATGTATGTATGTATGTATGTATGTATGTATGTATGTATGTATGTATGTATGTATGTATGTATGTCTTATTATCTCACCATTTTACGATCACTTTCTACACTTGGTCTTTCATCACTCTTATCCTATACCCCTTCCTTCCTTCCTTCCTTCCTTCCTTCCTTCCTTCAGGTAAATGGAAGGAGGTACTGAGAGCTCTGGTAGATGGGGGG